CTAAGTTCCATCTAGTTTCTGTATCATTTGGTATCAGAGCTAGACTAATTGTTGTCATATCCTAGGATTTCAAAGCATCAATCTTCCCTACCATTAAATATTTTCTTATTATTCCCAAAGCATAGCATAAACTCCAAATTCACCTTTGTTGATTTTCAAGATCAACAAAACTAAATTGTTTTTCTACACCTGCAATCAATCGCAACCCTCTTTCACCTCCACCCAACAACCAAGGTGGAATTATGTCCGAGCCTACTCGAGAAGATATACGACAAGAGCTTCGTCATCTTCATCAAAGGCTTGTGGAAATTGAAAAGTAAACACAGGAAGAGGTTACCCTCAACCGAGTTCTGGAGAGTCGAAGAGGAGAAAGAGATGGGGATTTGAATCCCTTCCATAGGGATAATTTCAATGACAATGAAGATAGGCAACGACATTTTGGAATTCAGTATCAGAGGATGCCTAGAGAGGGATATACGAATCCCTCTCAGAGTGAGACTCATAGAGAGACTTCGACATCAAGGTAGATTTGTCAGAGTTCAAAGGAGGTATGGATCCTGAGAAATTCATTGATTGGTTACAGGTTGCTGAGCGGATCTTTGAGTATAAAGATATGTCAGAGGATAGACGGGTCAAATTAGCGGCAATCAAGCTGAAGAAGAGTGCTTCTTTATGGTGGCAGAACTGAAAGAGACAGTAAAAGAGAGGGCAATGATAAGATTACCGGGTGGAAGAAGATTAAGAAAATATTAAAGATGAAATACCTCCCACTCCATTACCGCCACGATATGCTTTTATGGCCCCATCACTTACAGCAGATGAATCTGTCGGTAGAAGAGTTCACGGTGCAGTTTGATCATTTACAGATGAAGTGTGATATGACAGATGAGGATGCAGTAGCCAGATACTTGGGGGCCTGAAGCCTAATATTAACAATGCGGTGCAACTACAACAGCATTGGACGCTTGGAGATGTCCAGACACTAGCCCTGAAGATGGAAAGACAACATAAGCAAAGTAGTCAACAGTCATCTTTAAGGCAGCAACCCGCAGGCAGCGATCATCTGCAGCTACCACGACTAACATTGGTGCCCCGAGAGACACAGGCAAGCTCGGGCAAGGGAGTGACACTCTAGATCAGAGCAGGAAGAAGCAAGAGAAGAGTTTCTCCTTTGACACTGTGCGGCCAGGAAGTGCTATAGATGTCACGACTACGGTCACATTGCCTCCAGCTATTCCATGAGCAGAGTAGTCACACTTACAGACCAGGGCATCGTGGAGGAGGTTAGCGAGGAGGAAACAATTGAGGATCAAAGTGAGATACATCATCTTCACCCAGATGAATGAGAGGCACTCATAGTTCGACGGGTCCTACAGACTGATATTGACACAAGAGATCCGCAGTGGCTTCGCCACAACATTTTCTACACTCGCTACACAATGAAAGGAAAGATATGCTACCTTAGCATCGACGTCGGGAACAACAAGAACGTGACATCGACTCAGATGGTAGAGAAGTTGAGACTCACGACTTAGAGACACTCCCAACAATACTTATTGACATGGCTAAAGGATAATTGGATCAGCATTGTTTGGAGATGTTTGGCAGAGTTCTTTATCGGAGGCCAGCTGCAGGACCAGGTGTTGTGTGATGTGGTCTCTATGGATGTCTGCCACCTTCTGTTGGGACGACCGTGGTAGTTTGACCGGAGAACTCAGCATGATGGATTTAGAAACACATACTCATTTACCAAGGAGGGGAATCACATCATTTTACTTTCTTCTATAGGGCCCCAGATCCCAGTAACTCTTTCCAGCAGAGTGGCGTCAGTAGTCCCAGTTTTTGTGATGACACCAGATAAGAGGACTGAGATACCGACTTCAAACACGGGCAAGTTACGATAGAGAGGATTTCAGGGCCACACAGTCGATACTGTACCACCAGCTCCATCACCGAAAGGCATGATTGAGGATATTCTCATAGCAAAATAAATTGAAGCGACCATGGTTTACTTGGGGAAGATTCAATAGTGCATGCATGGGACACAGTCCCAGGGGAGCAGATCAATAGGGACATGTGCGCGCAAGTGGAGCCAACTTATTTGATACTTTGGATGACAGTGCGGCCGACAGTGGGATCCATATGCAGACATGATTAAAGAGAAGGAACCAGAAACTTCGACAAATGAGGTTGAAGCTCCCCCAACCATAGGAGACTTATGCGGTGCAGGACCTCTCCCATGCGGGAGAGGCAACAAACCAGGCCCTACGGTTTAATTGAGGGCCGGTTCAGGAGAAACTCAGGCCGAGTGGACTTGGGCGATATTTTGACGGGGTGAGATTGTCGTTCGCCCTCTCCTTTTTTTATGCTTCTCCTTCATGTAGGAGCTATTTATTTGTTGTTTTTCAGAGTCAGGGTTAGTTCTTGCTGTGTGTTGATTTCAGATTCCTTTTTGGAGTTGTTCTCCTTGTTTTAAGTTTTATCCGAGGAGTTAGTGGTGCTCCGGATGTTTCCTACTTCGAGTTGTATCCTTTCTTATTCCCTTCCCTAACCCTTCTCCTCCCCTTTTCTCAGCCACCGACCTCCCCTTTCCCCATTCCAACACCCAACCATCCTTCCCCTAGAAGCATAACGTTGTTGTTCCACTCGCCAGCCTCCATCCCCACGGCAGCCGCCACTTTCTTGCATCAAATTCAGCTGTCCAGGCACGTCCCCTTGTCCCAGTCCCCCTATCAGCCTCCAAAATCACCACCAAACCCCTTCCTAACTGACTTCACTACTGCCAACTCTTCCTCATACCTTCGCCCCGTGGCCGACATCACTCCGCCCTCAGATATTCTCTTTCGGCCTTAGCGGTGATTTGTTTGTTATTGTGTTTTCCCTTTTTATTTGTGTCGGGTTGTAACCCTAAGTCAATATTAATAAAAGTTTGTTTTTATGTTTCTGCTGAGTTCCACCTGGTTCAGATATTCATATATGCTTGGCCTCAAGGTTGCTATTTTTTTGCATTTCTGACAATAGAAGACATTTATGTTCTGACTATGATAGGGGTAGGAGGTCTTCAACATAAGAACCATCGTATCTGGGATAGGCCCAGTGTTTCCTACCTCTTTTGCTAGTTCCCTGTGAGGAACTTTCAAAAAAGAACGAAAGAAAAAATTTCATCTAGTGGTTTCCTTCCTATACTAAATGCTTCAATAGAACATTTCAATCATATGCCAATGTCTGATGAGGTCACTTATTTCTGTAACAGTAGACATTGAAGCGTACAACTGTACTTGTTATGCCATCTGCATGATAATGTTGCTAATGTTGATCTGCATCGTGCAAGTCAATCTGCTTGACAACTTTTTGTCATAGTAAATGATTGTTTTTATCTCAAATTTTCTGATCAACGCTTGATTATCAAAAACTCTGAATGAAAATAAATATGACACTAACTAAATAGGACGCAAGGGAGAAAAATGATTCATGTAGCCGACCCCACGTAGGGGGATTAAGGCTTTGTTGTTGTTGTTGTTTGATTATCAAAAACTGCTTATGTTTCAACTGTTTTTTCTAAATCCCCATTCTTGCCTGATAAAATATGCTCTAATTTTTTCGACTACTTAAAGAAAAAAAAGTACAAGATGCTACTAACACACTTTATGTTGTCTGGATTCAATAATTGGCATTGGCGTGAGCGCATTGAGTTGTCATTGTCAGCATTGAACGTATTCATTGAATGCGTTGTTGTCAAAAGATGCCATAGGTGTTGCACTTGCACAAGCATAGCTGGTTTGATCCCCAAATTTGGTCGTCCCTTCTAGGGGAAATATTTGCATACGGACGACGCACGTAGAGCTCAGTGCGTAATAACCTCCGCTTCGAGGTTATTAGAGGGCTATTGGGAGATTATTAAGTTATTAATTTCAATAACATATAAACCCAATAACCTTCCAATAATCTTCGCGGATTCTATTTCGATGTTATTCATAGGTTATTACGAAGGTATTGCGGGGTTAATCGAGTACGCACGCAGAGTCACGTGCGTATTCCGTACGCAAATATTTCCCCCTTTCCAGACCCACTATGAATCAATATTGCCATCTTTTGAATATTTTCCATTATTGTTTAGGTTCATCCCAATGCATGGCTGCCTATGTTCTGCGCTTGTTGAGTTGACCAAATGATGCGGTGACTGATTGTCATACGTCACCTGTGGACTTCCAACATTGCCTTAATTTTTTACTCCCAACCTAGAGATGTCACCTCCTGTCAGCGTCACGTGAGGTTTGTTAACAAACATTATAGTGAACCTTTGCATAAGGCTACTGAGCGAGCCTTCAATATTGTCAAACCATTTTCTATTGATACTTTTGTTTAAGGACCTTTTTTGTCTCTCTATGTTATAGATCTTGTTGCCAAGACTCTGTTCTTGTATGACACTACTTTATGGATCATTTGTGCTCATCTTGCAATACTCTCAATCTCTGGATAATAAAATATTTGGCTACTTCATTTTTTGTTACTATTTTCTAAAAAACAAAGGTGACATATTTTATGCAATCTTCAGTTTACGGGTGCTTGTTATGATATAAAATATAAAGAATTTATAGTTTTTAGCCGTTCTCACCCTGTTCTGACATTATCAAAAAAATAGTTTTTTTTACAGTTTTCTTATGGAAGTAATTGATCTTTTGCGTGCTATGCCGCATTGCTGAGTCGCTGACACTTGCATACTTGTTAACTTTCACTAAACTTTCTGTTTGGTCAATTTTCTGCCTGTCCTTGGTGTTTATGTGGATTTCTTTGGCAATCAGTCATATTAGGAAGATTTAGGATTGGTATTTTATGAGCTCACTTATTTTGTTCAAGAAAATCCTTGTTGGGATAAATTGTTTCCTTGATATGTTTGCCTGTGGATATTTTAGGCATATTTTTGCTGCAATTTAATTTATTAGATAGAGTTTGCTCTTCAAATTCCTAGCAAGTGAAATTTCATTTATATTCTCTTTCAGACAGGCTGGTGGAATGCACTCCCCTTAAGAGAGCTATCGAGGTGGCATATTCTGCAACACTGCCAAAGGCATCCAAGCCTTTCATTTTTATGTCTATCAGGCTCCCGCCTGAGCATGTAGATGTTAATGTACATCCTACAAAGAGAGAGGTAACCTACTGGAAACTCTTAGTTAAGGTCTGTTGGCAACATGGGTTACTTATTGTCATTCATGTTTATGCTTGCTCACTTATTATTTTCTTAATTAATTGAAATAGTAATGCATTTAATGCCATCATGCATGCTTCGTTACATGCTCATCATTATTTTTTCTTGAGCAAGAATGCCAATGTAAAACTATATAAAGTTTTGGATTCTTTGTTTATATGTTCTAATTGCAGGTAAGCTTTTTGAATCAAGAGAGTCTTGTTAACACCATTCAAGATGCTGTTGAGTCAAAATTGATGTCCTCTAACAATACAAGAACATTTCATACACAGGTATTACATGCAGACAGTACCTATCTTATTTATTTCTATTTAATTGCGTCAGAACCCTAGTAATGCGCGACAATCCAATCACATATGTCATGTAAAATAATATACTTCATACTCTTTTGGAATAAACCTGTTCTATGATACTGTTTCGAAGCTGCTATAGCTTTCTCTTGAATGGTTAATTCAACCAAGCTTTAATACTTTTTTTTTTTGTTTTCCATACTGCATATTGAAGCTTGTAAGAAGCCATGACTGTTATTGTCGCCCATATTCTGGCTAAACATAGTAAAATTTCTTAATTCCCTGTTCATTTTCTTAAAACTCTTTAAGTCACCTCATTTGCTGTTTTGTTTCATTTAATTACTGACATATGACGAAGACTCACATTGACTTGCAAATTTTAGTGCAACCAGATCATTTAAGTAACTTGAATGCATCAGATCTACATTTACTTAGGAAAAGGGTGATATGAATGTTTCTGGAGCCTAACCTGAGCTTTTTTTCCAATCTTCAGTAATTTTTTGGAGAAAAGGTAGATCTACATTTTTTTTATTAGGTCTTCTAGATGAAGTGATACTTTTTGCTGAAAACTTGTGTAATCTATGCTAATTTGCACTTTGCCTACTAAAAACCTATGATTATGTATTAAAATGAATGTATTATGGTTCATTGCTGATTGGTAACGCAAATGAAATATATTTTAGTTGTTATTAGATTGATACAAAATTATCAGCCGTATTAAAAATTTATGAAATTATTTCCGATTTCAATTGTGCTAGTGCAAATGTGTTCCCATATATTACAAGCATCGAACTCATCTCATGTGCCATGATGTAATCAAAGTGTGGTGGGAAGCAATGATTTGCTAGGACATCATTTGCCTGTGATTCCCAAAGGTACAACTCAAACTCAAAGTTGAATCTTAAGTTCAAGCCTAAGTCCATACTTTGTACATGGATGACTAGTTTTGGGTGCATGGATCATATGAGGTTATATCAAATGTTTCACCAAAAATGCAATAATGAAGCATAGTTAAAGAAAATGCAGAATTTTGAAGCTTTATTTAATAACAACAATCGGCTGAAAGTGAGGAGTGAAAGATGTTATTTGTAATAAGTTGTAGCGCTTAATCCTCAAAATATATGAAAGCAGAACTTGATTATCCTATTTTTGGAACGAGCCTCTAACTTAGGGTGGTTACTTCAAATGAAGATTAATTATCAATTATCCTTATGTTATTTCTTTAGATAACAATTTTTTTCTATAATTATCTACCTTGTATTATTATTCTTTCATTTATTTAGTAGTTAATCCAAGAAATATTTCTTCCTATATCCTTTATTCGAAGCTTCCCTCCCCTCTTCTCCCTATATTCTGTCTCTTCCCTTTCTCAATAGTTCTCTAAAACTTCTTTATTAGTCTAACATCCCCCTCATTATCACTTTCTCTCTACCTAGGGGGAAGATGGTGCTTTATAATTATCATCTGATGATAAGAAAGGAGAGGAAATTAATTCTCCCCAACATCTTGGATGTCAAACTCCGTTTAAAGTTGATGCAAAGTCAGAGACACACAAATGACAACATAATAAAAAAGGAGAAGGTGCACATTGAGGAGAGCTTCTTGAAATATATATTTCAATTTAGAATTATTGCAATGCATGGTCTATTTTCCTTGCTCAATTGAAAATATCCCCGCATGCATTCTTGTGATGAAAATTTAAATTCAAGCGCTACATCTTATCATGCTTGACATGATTAGGAGTAGTGGATCTAGTAGCAATATTTGAGGCAAAAGTATGATTAGTTTGTGCAAGACCATACTATGCTGTTATGTAAGCTAATCATTGCCTTCGGAGTCCCTCTAAAGATAAAATCAATTTTTATGATGCTCATAGTAGAACTATAAGAAGAATTTAAAAAATATCTGAAACTATTTCTAATGTCATTATCTTAGACATATTTATTGGCTATAATCACAAAGGAAAAAAGCTGTGCTAGCCACAATTACAGAAATTGTAAGCTCCGATAAAATGATTAACGAAAAGATGAGAAGCTTGTGGAAGAGTATAAGGCAAAGACATACAGCTCCCACTACGAGCTCAAGGGCCTGTCATGCCTAAATTATTTGAAATTGCTTTCTAAGAAGATAAAAAAGTAAGAGGCCTAAATGACCCTCAATATCATAGTCAATGACGTGATAGAGCTTCCAGAGTTGTAGGAAGGCCGAATTATCATCCTTGATGCACAATAAAATGAAAAGGAAAAATTTGTTCCCTTCAATCTCAAAACATCAATTAGTGGAAACTAAACCCAAATAAATGTTAGAAATTGAATTGCTAGAGGGTGATCAGAGTGACAGTCTGAAAAGACTTTTACTACAATAAATAAAGATGTGATAGAGCTGCTATGTTTATAGAAGGTTGAAATACTATACCCTATGGCATGAAAATGACATGCAAAAAGAGGAACTCTTCAATATCAATCTTCAGGCAAAAAAAATCAATTTTTTGTGGAATTTCTGAACTTGGTAGTGGTTAGCTCTAGTTAATAAATTTTGGTATGATATCACTTCACCTCCTAGTACACATGTGTTAAGGTTGATTAAGAATGATTCTTAGTTCAGGGTCACTTAATAATGCACTATGAGATGACTACAGTTTTATAATATGTGATGTAATTCCTCTTTATTCTTGTCTTGTAATTTTTGAACTCTCTCTTTATGCGACAAGCTGGATATTGGATGCTAAGTGATCATTAGGTCAAGATGTGGAGAGGGTTGCAATGGAGTGGGTGAGTATAGTGTGAATGGAATAGTGTGTTACGTCGGTCCATCCTGGACTGGCCTAGACCGACCTGACCCAGTTAGACCAGTTAGTTTGACAAAGCCAACCGGTCCAGCCTAGGGGGTGTGAAAACCCCATTAGGATGATTCCAACCCCCGAGTGGGGCCAGATAAGCCTCTAAGCACATATGTGAGAGGAATTGAGGGGAAAGTTTGAATGTGTTTTGGGGATGTTTTAGTAGGGCTTTTATGTTTTGATTCTTGCAGTTATCTATCTTCTTGTTCTTAGATGTGTCTAAGGTTTGTGAAGAGTCGATCTACCTCTTGAATTGTAGATCACCCATTGTGTATCCTTTTTGTTTGCTTGGAGATTAATCCAATTAGCCCTAATTTGGGTTTTCCCACATATTTCTTACAATATGTTTGCTAATTTTGGTTCTGATTCGTATCAAATTAGTATAAAAGCATTCAATTATGGGAAGCAAAGATAGGATTGCAGATTTCCATAAACTATGTGTGATTCGGGCTAGTTGTGAAGCTGGCGCGATCACGATGTGACCTAAATTCATGAAATAGTCACAATTCCAACAATCATGGAAGCTATGATAAGATTGCAGCATATATAGACCTATGGAATCATGAGTTGGGAAACCTTGCGATATTGTCACAATTACAACGTCCTTCTGTACCGAACCGTGTGATATGTTCACAATTTGCGCTAGCTAGGAAGGAATAACAAGACTGTGACTTACAACCTAGCCAAATCTTGTGATATAGTCACGATTTGAGACAGTTGGGATGCCAAAGGATGGTATCACATCACAAAGGAGTTCTAAAATTGTCCAGGAGAGATGGAGGCAAGGAAACTGGATGCCTTGGAAGAGAGATTGGAAGGAGCAGTAGGGAAAATTAAATTCGGGATTGAAAGAATGTTCGTAACCATAGAAGAAAGGTTTTCTTCCATGAAAAATTGAATTGAAAACCGATTTGAGGGCTTGGAGGAGATGATGAGGGGGCTTATTGAGTTGCATTTCAAAACCCCTCCGATAGTTCAAATTGAAAATCCTAACTAAGGTTTGACCGAAGAATTCTTGACCAAATCTAAAAGGAAAGAGGTCAGACGAGAGGAACATGAGGAGGAAAGTATCCATCAAGAACCTCCTCTCTCTAGAGTTCTGATGGGGGTGGATTAAGGATTTTCGATGGAGAAGGTTGGATCGAAATAAGGGAAATGGGTTATGCAAGGGGTATGTAGGAGTACGAAGAAGAAAGGAGAGAAGCCCAGATGGGGTATAACTATGATTGAAGGAGGGATTTTCATCCTAAATACATGGGGGAATCACCGAAGGGAGAGCAAGTTGGGTTGGAGATGCTATGGTTAGGAAGTTAAATATGTCGATCTTCGAGGATTAAGACACATCATTGGATGTACAGGATGCAACTATATTTTGTGGTGAATGGGCTGAGGGAGGAGGAGAAGCTCATGTCTGCAGGGTTATGTTTGGAGGGGAAAACTCTAACATTATTTTTGTTGAGGGAGTCTAGATACTCGATCATCTTGTGAGAGGAATTTAAGGATTGCTTGTCGGAATCTTTTTGAACTATTCGGGAAGGATGCCTACACGAGAAATTCTTTGCCATGTCTCAGAAGGGGACCGTCATAGAGTATATTGAGAGATTGGAGTTATTGTTGAGACAACTAAGGGAGATTTTTGAAGTAGTATTAGAGGAAATTTTTATGAAGGGTTTAAAGCCCGATCTACATGCAACCCTCCGACTGTTTAGACCGCTGAGATTGGGGGAGACAATAAAGCTAGCCCAGATGGTGGAAGACAAGAACCACATGGAGTGGACCAACAGAAGTAACACCATGGGAGGATTCCATAGAAGTACCTCGACAACCCTGACTGCAAGGACTCTAACGCCATGTTACGCTGATCCCTCATGGATTGGCCTAGACTGGCCCGATCCAACCAAGTTGGTTGGCTCAGCCTTGTTCCACCTGGGATGATTCTAGCTCCGAGTAGGGCCTGATAAGCCCCTAATCACATATGTGTGGAGAGGAATTGGAGGGAAAGGTATTTTGGGATGTTTTGTTAGGATTAATCACCTTTCACCTAGGTTTTGCTTTTATGTTTTGATTCCTATTGTTTTTTTCTGTCTTTTTGTTCCTAGCAGCTTCTAGGACTTTTGTATTTGTGGAGAGTTAATCTACCTCT